TGTACGATCTACTGTACAATATAAAGCTCCTTGAGGCGACTGTTGTTGTGATTTGGCGCTGTGTAAATAAAATTGAATTGAATGGGCCCCTGAGTCTTGTCTCGTGGAGGTGGCTCTTCCATGTTGTGCCATTTGTTTATGAAGTCTCTCCAATGTAAAGGTCGGAGCATTCCTTGGTGCTCTCTGCTGCATGCACTACGTTGTTAAGTTTGTGTTTAGGACAATCTTGTCGGAGGAAACATCCAGACGCTTTTCTTTCCAAGCTCCTGAGACTACGATGACCTTCACAGGCATCTTTGTCAGCTGGAAATGAAGCTAGTCAGAAACGGAGGAGGCGCTGTCAGCTGTACTCCTTCTCATGCGCGTGGCTGAATATTCGACCAATAACGTCAGGCTTTGTGCATTGACTGCCTCGGTGCCTGTTTTTGTCACAGTTAGATTTGTGGATACTCTGAGTTTATTTCTCCTTCAAGTACCAACAGAAACTCAAAGAAAGCTTTGAGTAAAAGTCCTGCTCTCAGAATTATGTCCAGAACTACGAGCATAAGAAAGAACTGAAGGTAACAATCTTTATGTAAAATGAGCCCTTTAAGGATTTTACATGCAGCCTGTTTTATTCTCAGGGGGTTTATATGATGAAAGCCAATCCAAAATAGAAGCTAATAACACATCATATACATTAGGGCTGCCACAAACGATTATTTTGATAGTCGACTAGTCAGCGATTATTTTTGCGATTAGTCACTAATCAGATCATCATCCATACAGCTTATTGCACCAGCAGCATCTGCTCTTATATAACTATCATTAGCTTACAGCTTTAAGTGTTTCAGGTGCTAACTAAAAATAAAGACAAGATGATAGTTTATTAAATGTTAATGAAATTTGCAGATTGTTTCGGTGAAGTTTAATAAACTCCTTTCTATCTAAAATATAACAGGACACCGGAGTAAATTCTCGAGCATCTCACACTTCTGATAATCAGCTGTCTGCTTGACGTTTATTCAGCTGTGTAAAAACTTTAATCTCAGCCAAACCGATTTACTCAGGAACAAATAAAATACTAAAAAAAGCCAAACGATAACATGTTTAAGTTATCTAAGTGACTCATATATCATGTTTAACCTGAGTAGCGAAAGACGGCGGTGGGTTTGAAAACAATTTGCCGGGAGTCCGGTGTTCTTACGGCTCTAGTGACCTAGCCCCCGGCTAGCTATCGAGCTAGTGGGTAACAGACGTCTCCAAAAACGTTGGAGCGCTTTTGAAAATATGCGGTGTCCTGATAAACTGAGCAGATATTTGAGGTTTACACAGCTACATTCTCGCCTGAAAATATGTTAAACGTTTATTTTGTGACCCAGAAAGAATAATAAGAGTAATATTAAAACTAACTAGCTGCCGCCATTGTTGGAAACTGCGCTGAGCCGCGCTATGAATTCTGGGACACAGCTGCTGCTTCTTCTTCAGGGTTTAACGGCAGCTGGTATCCTTGTACATGCAGTGCTGCCATCTTCTGTTTCAGTCCGTTATTACACTCTGAAATCCTGCTACTTATTCCTGCGTCTTTTGGGATCTTACAAAGCTTCAAATGACGCGTCGACTATTAAATCAGTCGTCGACGATTTTGATAGTCGACGTAATCGTGACTAGTCGACTAATCGTGGCAGCCCTAGTATACATGCTGTTACAGGTCATGACGTCGGGCTTCACACTGCTCTAAAACTCAGGTTTCACTTTTTTCACTGTCAGCTCTGTATGATGTCACAAAGAGCAGCGCTCCACTGAGGCTCTGTACAAATAAGGATTACTTTGAACTATGAGTCATGAAACTCTACTCTCGTCCAATCAGAGAATAAAGGCGTGGACTTTAAGGATCCACGTCCTGTTTTTGTAATCGATCTTCTGAAAACCAAAACCATCCACAGACCTGATGTTTCACTCATGTATTAAACACACTGTTCAAACTTTGCTGATGCTTTTCCACTTTTGTCTATCTTTACCCTGTGTGTGTGGTGGCGGTCAGTACTGAGTGTCCCTGCAGGACGTCCACTGGTCTAAAGTCTTACTGCACGTAAAGGGAAGGCTTTTGTTTTAGTTAGTCTGTCGTCCATCACTGGAAGTCACAAGCTTTGCAGATTCTGGTGAATTCGATGGAAACTATCACACAGAACATGAAGCAGCAACAAGTACTAAGAAACAGCTTTTATCTCTTTTTGTTTGCATTATTTTCCTGTTTCAAACAGGCAAACGTGTGGTGTGAAGTGACATTAGTGTAACAGCCAATTATCACAATGATGTCCTAACTGAATACAAATAGATAAAATTGTCAAACTTGGAACCAGAAGGGAAACAGAAGGAACACATGTAAAGAAACATGTGGTTATCCCAACGGGGCTTTCATCAAATCAGCAAAGACGCACAGAAAACAAGATCAAACACCAACGAAGGAGGATCAGAAACAAACTGAACAATACTGTCAACCCCTAAACCAGGGGTGTCAAACTCAAACACACAGTGGGCCAAAATTCAAAACTGGAACAAAGTCGCGGGCTGACATTAATATTTATTGAAACAAAAACTTCCTCCAGATATAAGAATGAATCTTTTCTTATGGACTCAAACACGTTTTGCTGGAAAACTGAATATGGAACAAGCAAAGCTTAATACTAAACAATATATATATTAGCTGTATAATAGCAGTAGGCCAGCTCTGATAGTAATTTGGTGTGGCTTCGCGGGCCAAATGTAATTAGGCTGCGGGCCAAATTTGGCCCGTGGGCCAGAGTTTGACACCTATGCCCTAAACCATCTGCATCTAAAGGTCAAAGGTCACTCTTTGAGGATGCCAATGTCCACATGTTGGACAGAGAAGACAGAGGAGTGAAAGAAGCATCAAAGGCTGTATCCCAATTCAGGGTCTGCAGCCTTAACGTCCACAAGCACCACGTACTCAAAGACCGCTAAGGCCGGAAGTGCGAGGCTTGTGAAATGGGCGGTCTAGCCTCTGTCGCGCTGCCCAGGTTGCCTAGCAACCATGATACTAACAGCTGGAAACGTGTCATACAGCTGTGTTTGACAGAAATGAAGGAGACAATCTTTTGTTCATTTGTTTGTTTCTACATGAGCTTTGATCATTCTGTGATTAAGCTCAGCTATTGAACGGCGTATATTTTGAAGTAAAGGCTTTAAAACCAAGTTAGTACAAACGTCACTAATGTCACATAACTTTTCCGACATGTGACCAACAGTAATGTTTAATGTTCTTCGTTATTAAACATTTGCACATAAATAAGTGGCAAAATATTCAGTACTTACTTAAAGTTTACTCTTCGGGCGCCCCTCATCCGCCGTTTTTTTTCAGCAAAATTATCCACACCCACGCTATGCATTCTGGGATATGTTGGGCCACGAAGTCTACACCGCCATGTCCTTAAAATTCAGGGAAATGAAGGACGCATTTGAGGGCCGCATTTCGAGCAGCCTTTGAATTGGGACAGCCTTCGTCTGTCGCAGTTACGTAATTAAAATGCGGCCTTTCAGGCTGCAGACCCTCGGCTGCATCCTTCAGAGGACCCGGCCTTCTTAGTCTACGTGGGCCGGGTCCTGCAAAGACCAAGGAGGCCGGAAGTGCGAGGCTGTGAAATGGGACGGTCTAGCCTTCAGATTTGCGTCACCGCTGCCTCGGTGGAGTTTAATAAACTCTGCCTCTGCTCCTTGCTGTCTAACAGGACACTGGTGTAAACTCTCGACCGTCTCACACTTCTGTTTAATCAGTTTTCTGTTTCGCGTTTATTCAGCTGTGAGAAAAGCCCAATGGAACCAACCCAATGGATTAATAGAGTTGTATTTAATCTAATAACTTTGATCTCAGCAGAACCGATTTACTCCGGAACAAATAAAACAGAAAAAAAGGCTAATAATTACATTTTTAAGTTATCCGAGTGACTTATATCATATATAACCTGAGTAGCAAAAGAGCGGGGGTCTGAAAACGATGAAGCCGGGAGTCCGCTGCTCTCGCCAGCTGGAGTGACCATTGAACCCCCCGGCTCGCTATCGAGCGGGTGGGTAACAGACGTCTCCGAAAACGTCGAAGCACTTTGGCAAATATGTGGTGTCTTGATAAACCGAGCAGATATTTGAAGTTTACACAGATACACTCTCACCTTAATATATGTTAAAAGTTTATTTTGTGACCCAGAAAGATTAATAAGAGTAATTTTAAAACTTAGTAGCGGCCGCCATTGTTGGCAGCTGAAATTTGGCTGGGCCGCGCTATGAATTCTGGGATATGGTGGGCCACGAAGGACACACCCGACCCATCCTTCGAATTCGGGGAAATGAAGGATGCATTTGAAGGAGTCTACGAATTTGGACAGCCTTTGTCGTCTGGCTGTGACGTAATCGGCCTTCAAATGCGGCCTCCGGGGGATGCAGCCGACGTTTTGGGACACAGCTACAGCCTATGTCCACTGTGAACGGCCATCTTTGAACGGAGGCGGGGCTAGTGACGCCAACTGTCTGCAGTCCAGTTTTGAGATCCTTCCTGATCTGCAAAAGCTTCTTGGATGAAATGTCTTCAAGAACGTAGAAGTACACAGAGAACAGAGCAGAGCCAATCAAATGCCTGGGTGCATCATGTGACCTCTGACGTTAAAGAAACGCTCATTTCTTCTCATGTGTTGATTTTTATCAGTGACAGCAGATACACTCTGGCTACATCTGTGTCCTCGCTGGTAGCTTATTGTTTCACTAATGATAAACCAAGAACTGCGATAAATTAACGCAATGATGGTCCCTGTTATTACCTGGAGTGGGAGGAGCTACTGCTGACACAGTAGCCCCTCCCCTAAAAACATCAAGTATAGCCAAAACCAGAAAAAAACTGTTTTCCCAGGTTGAGTGCTGGAGATTCCTGCCTGCATCCCAGCTGAATTCCCGAGTTTTCATGAGTTTGTCTTGCTAATGTGCACCAGTTAATAACCAGGATGAACCAGAACACCGTGAGCAAGGCGGCAGACTCATGCTGCTCTTTAATAAAAGGCTGAGTGTCCTCAGAGGGACGCTGTGAGGGAGCTCCGGGTGTCTGCAGACTCACAACAACAGCCTGGACCATTACATTCATTTTATTAGCAACATTCTGCTGAAGTTACCGTTTGTGACGCGATGGAGGAAATAACACTGAAAGAAAACGTTAACTGTGACTGTCCTCAGGTTAATACGTTTTTAACCTGTAATGTCTTTTACTCTGAAAATAACACAGAAGTAAAAAGCTAACACTTTATTTTGCAGGTTTGGCACTTTCCAGCTCATTTCCTGGAAACTTTACTAAACAATGTAAAATAAATTCTCAGTTCTTCAGCTCTTTGTGGAGCTGAGCTGCGTGTTTGCAGCTTTCATCCTGTAAAACACACCTGGAGCATAAAACGATTCAGTGGCTCCATCTGGACGATGCTTTAAAGATAAATATAAGATAAAACTTTAAAGAACGCTTCCAGGAAACGAGCTGGAAAACCCAACGTGTCTTTAAATACAATAAAACATGAAATATTTCAGCTGAAGGATGAACTTCTTCCTCGTTGTTCTGATTGGTCAGCTGATCAAACACAGGGGTGTTTCCTGCAGTAACATGAAGTCAGCTTCTTTGTCATCTCTTCTCGTGAGCGTTTCTCTATCAAAATAAAAGCCTCTCCTCTCGCTGCCTAGCTGACAGGATCCACCACCAGGACTTTGCACTCCCTCTTGGCGATCTTGTCCAGCGACAGCAGCGACTTGTCCTGCGGCGGCAGGTAGAGCGGCCGACCGACCGGAGAGCCAACGGGAGGCGTGATGGCCCGTCGCTCCATGGCGCTGCCCGTCCTGTCGCACACAGATAAGATTAAACGACATACTCGATGTGATATGAAGCTGAAGTTACTAAAGTTACCTCATGATGTGGGACCGAGACGGCTGCTGGTGGGAGAAGGACTGAGAGCGCCCCAGACTGGCCTGGTGTCGGTCCAGGAGGTCTCGAACCGCCGGGCTGGACGGGCTGTTTTTACCTGGATGGTTTTCGACACGACACAGAAATCAGAACAGACGCAGGTCAAAGCCTTTTGTGTTTGTTTCCTGCTCAGAGCTTACGTGACAGGGGCCGGGCGTCGGGTGGAGGGTTGGACACCGACGCTGTGAACTGGAGCTTTAACTTCATGTGCTGACTCAGCTGCAGAGACAGGAGAAAACATGACGTCCCGTGTGAGTGGGCGAGATAAGGAAGCAGGCGCTCAAAGCTCGGCGTACCTCGTACAGTCCTGGTTTGAGGATCTGGAAGGCCACGCTGAACGACAGAGTGCTTCCTTTGCGGCAGTGACCCAGGTTACTGAGAGGGGTGTGACAGACCACGGCAGACAGCGCTGCGTCTTCCCCCTGACCTCGACCTGAGCGAGCAAGCAAACAACACATTACTCGGTCTGAACCACGACTGACAGAGAGCGGCGCGATTCTCCTGAAACTGGTCCAGAGAACCGTCTCCATCCACGAGGAGAACACAACCAGAACCAGCTGGACAAAGCACCATCAGCCTGCACTCCCCCTAACGTCCACTAGAGGCTGAGTCCCCACAGACTGCCATGTGTCCCAGAAACAAACCCGCTCACAGGTTTCCTTTCAAACAGCTGCAGGGTGGATTTTTTCAAAAAATCAAACATGAATCAAAATACTCGCTGACCCTCTGGAGTCCAGACGAGCCGCACAGCCAGGAAGTCCTGCAGGTTGTTGAGAAGAACGTATTTGACCTTGAAGTGCTCCTTCACCCTGACGGTGCTCGGACAGCTGGCCATCATGATGAAGCGCGGCCGGTCCAGACGGATACTGGGCAACCTGAGTGGAGGGGAGGGAGGACGGCGGGTCATTTAGAGAAGCAGCAGGAAAAACACTAAACGCTGTGTCGTCCTGCTGCTGGACAGGAAATACACTCAACAAAAATATAAACGCAACACCTTTGTTACTGCTCCCATTCCCCATGGGATGGACGTAGAGACCTAAAATTCATTCCAGATACACAATATAACCATCCCTCCCAAACAGTGGTCACAAATCAGTCCAAATGTGTGGTAGTGGGCACATCTGCTATATTGAGATAATCCATCCCACCTCACAGGTGTGCCACATCAGGATGCTGATCTGACATCATGAGTAGTGCACAGGTGTACCTCAGACTGCCCACAACAAAAGGCCACCCTGGAATGTGCAGTTTTTTGCGCTATTGGGGGTCTGGGGACCCAGAACCGGTCAGTATCTGGTGTGACCACCATTTGCCTCATGCAGTGCAACACATCGTCGCATGGAGTCTATCAGATTGTCAATTGTGGCCTGTGGAATGTTGGTCCACTCCACTTCAATGGCTGTGCGAGGTTGTTGGATATTCGTGGGAACTGGTACACGCTGTCGTATACGCCGGTCAAGCACATCCCGAACATGCTCAATGGGTGACATGTCTGGTGAGTATGCTGGCCATGCAAGAACTGGGACATTCTCAGCTGCCATCTGCCCTGAACAATGTGAACCATGATTCATCCGTGAAGCGCACACCTCTCCAACGTGCCAGACGCCATCGAATGTGAGCATTTGCCCACACAAGTCTGTTACGGCGACGAGCTGGAGTCAGGTCAAGACCCCGATGAGGACGACGGGCATGCAGTTGAGCGTCCCTGAGACGGTTTCTGACAGTTTGTGCAGAAATTGTTTGGTTGTGCAAACCAATTGTTCCAGCAGCTGTCTGGGTGGCTGGTCTCAGACGATCTTGGAGGTGAACCTGCTGGATGTGGAGGTCCTGGGCTGGTGTGGTTACACGAGGTCTGCGGTTGTGAGGCCGGTTGGATGTGCTGCCATATTCTCTGAAACGCCTGTGGAGACGGCTTATGGTTGAGAAATGAACATTCAATGCACGGGCGACAGATCTGGTTGACATTCCTGCTGTCAGCATGCCAATTGCACGCTCCCTCATTGCTTGTGGCATCTGTGGCATTTTGCTGTGAGACAAAACTGCACATTCCAGGGTGGCCTTTTGTTGTGGGCAGTCTGAGGTACACCTGTGCACTACTCATGATGTCAGATCAGCATCCTGATGTGGCACACCTGTGAGGTGGGATGGATTATCTCAATATAGCAGATGTGCCCACTACCACACATTTGGACTGATTTGTGACCACTGTTTGGGAGGGATGGTTATATTGTGTATCTGGAATGAATTTTAGGTCTCTACGTCCATCCCATGGGGAATGGGAGCAGTAACAAAGGTGTTGCGTTTATATTTTTGTTCAGTGTATGTCCGGATGCACGGAGATGTTTCCCGTCGCTCCTGGTGGCCACAGCAGAGGTCTGCAGCCCCGAGCCTGGATATCTCTTACCAAGACTAACACAGCACGTGTGGAGCGTTTCATCCAGCCTTACCTGTAGTGGGTGTAGATGCAGTTGGTGAAAGGCATCTTGGAAGTTGACCACTGCAGCACAGCGACCAGAGGAACCTCCAGCCCCTGAACACAAGCACACACATGCTGACAGCAGCGAAATAAGTAAAGGACGCATTAATGCAGGAACGACCGTCGCGTCACAGCTGCTCTACAGTGTGTCCGCCCTCAAAGTCCTAATAAATCCTGCGCTGACACAGCCGTTCACAGAAACACGTCGTTTACTTTTCCTTCTTCAGGAAACCGCGAGGAGAACACAAACTGTCACGTCACCAGAGCGCACTGTGCACCAAACTATAAAACACACAACGCAACACGAACGCACCTCACTGGAGTCGTCCTGCGGCATGTCGTTGAGGTGCAGCTGGAACAGGAAGTCATGCTCCTCCAAAGCGCTGAGCATGCTGGGAAGACGGCAGGCCAGGCTGTCCACCCGGCAGAAGGACGCCATGCCGACCTCACCGGACTGATGACTGCAGAGCGAAGAACAACAAATACAGACATTCAGGAGCATCGCACAAACACACAATCTGACTGCACAACAACTCGTTTTACGAACAAAGTCCCAGAAACTCAAAGTAATCGAGTATAACACAAAGTAGCATCATTACTAAAAACTATCTGCAATGATACAAATGATAAAAATCCAACACAGTGTAACAAGGTATACACAACACTGTCATTAAATACAATGTAACAAACACAAAGTCATAACTAACACGCAGAGACAGCAGCAGCCACGGCGGCGCCTTCTGAACTCTGGGCACAAACCATCTGAACGGGTCGTATACGCACCACACGTTGTCCACCAGCAGCACGGAGCCGTCGGGCATCACGGGAAGGTAGGAGGCGTTGAGGTTCGGTAAAATGCGAACATCCCGAACACTCACCTCCTCCTGAGAAGACTCGTTCAGCACTGACAGCGGGACAGGAAACAGAATCACAGTTGGAATCAAACCACTGCAACCAAGCAACTGAATCGATTTTATTTTATTTACGGATTCGTTTCGGCCTTTAATTAACGAGGATTTAAAAAACAGCGCCCTCTGCTGGTGCTTTTAGATTAAATACCAAAATATTCCTACATCGTCCTGCTGATCAGAGTCACAACCACGGAGCAGAGACTCGACCGTTTCACGGGGCTCAGCGACGCCTCGGCGTGCCGGCGGTGCGCTGGCATGCTGGACGTCAGGTTAAAGGAGGTGATGCATCTATTGCTGATCGCCGCCCTGTTCAGCTTCATGTCGCAGCACACAGCTGGGTTTATGTCGCTTAGCTTGGAGGCTTCCCTGACATGCAAGCATCGGTCACCACAGTGACATCACAGTGATGATGAAGAGCGTTCTGTACCTTTTAAGACCGCGAGGTGTTTTCCAGAAACAGTCATCTGCTTGCAGCGGACGGTTGGAGGCGGCAGGACGGTCAGGGTGGTGCTCACTGTGGATCAGAAGCTGTGTTAAACCTCCCAGAGGACAACGTGACATCTTATAAAATCATTAAAATTCTGTTTATCAGGATAAAACAGTCCCGCCCTCAGTGTGGGAACCTCAGCGAGGCTCTCAGAGGCGAGGACGGAGCAGGAAATGGGTCCCACCCCATCTCAGGCGACTCAGGAGCCGAGGAGGCCGGAAGTGAAGGAGCTGATTTAACTCCTGACTGATCAATGAAACTGATCATATGTCCATAACTGACCTCCGTCATTGATTGTTTTTTACTGTTACAGCATTTATCTTGATTTACTGAAATCTAGACGGATGCTCTGCTAACGACTCAGGTGGTGTCACCTCGAGCAGCTGTCAGGCAGAGCCTACAATAACACCCCCCCACACTCACGTGACCCCCTGCTGTGGAAGAGAGCCAGACATCAAAAATAAATAATGATTAAATGTCTCGTCATCCCGTTACTTTTATTCATAATTGTTCAGTACTTCCTGTTTTATTTTGAAGGTTACTTTCCTGTTGCATCTTGTTTGTTCTCATCGTCACCTGTGTGAGTCACTGTCAGGTGCGCGCTGTTCCCACCTGCTTCCTCTCAGCCCCGGCTGTGGCTCATGTTTAACCCTTTAAGACCGACCATAGAACCAAGTCCACCAAAGCTTATATTATATTTTTACCTGCTGTGGAGCCATTTTTGGGAGCATTTCAAGTTGCTATACATCAATACAACCATTATAGCCCAGATTTTAATAATATGTCTGCATTAAGTGCATAGTAATTACATAAATTGCAAAAAAGTGCAATAACATATATTTTAACATATATTTGTAGTTAGAGAAATTTAAGAGGCTTATCCCTCAAAACTATAAATACAAAAAAGGTGCACAAAATAGTTTCCCACCACAGGAAATTTATTTTGAGTGTCTTCATAGTTTTCTTTTTGAAATACACCAATTTTTATACACTGCAGGAAAAAAAAATATTATAAAGAAAATTTGCAAAAAAGCAGCATATGCATCAAAATAAACTATTTCCAGCAGTGCAATATGAGTCCTCAGCATCCCAGAAACCACACAGAAAGTTATAAAGTCAAAGATAACTTTTAAAAACACCAGTATAGGCCCTGAAGCCCTGATGGTAAAAAAACAACAACTACATTTCCGCAAAAATGACGTCACTTCCGGTTTCTGGCAGGTAATGGCGGACATGCAAAAGTTCGCGCTGACGTCTATTCCAACGTAGGAAGTGTTACGAACAGCTGATCGGATCGGCAAAGCGTGTTTCTGGAATATTATGTTTTTGTTCCTGCAAGAGCTTTTTATGCAGTTTTTGCAAAGCTTTATGTGGAAGGAAACTGTGACCTAGGACAAGCTGATGGCATCAGATGTAAGTACAACTCCTCCGGTTTCATATGCAAAAAAAATTATTGCGCTAGCTCACGTGGTTGCAGAGATACCGGGATTTAAAAATAGTTACGCAAAACAGAGCGTGCCCACTCCGACCGGCTCTAAAGGGTTAATGGAGCGGTCTGTCTACCCGCGGCGTTCCCATGAAGCATTCAGTGCCTACCCTGAGCCTTGAAGGTGTTCAGGTCGTGTCTGAAGGTGTGCGTCGGCTCTCTCTGCTGCAGCACGCTCAGGTAGCCGAGTTCCTGCACCTCCACTTTCTCCGCCTCCTTCTTCCACACCGTGACCATCACCTGAATGCACATGGAGCAAAATTACTGCGCGAAGCAGCTACGACTCAAAGTCTTCACACAACACCAGATATCTGCGTCCAGAAGAAGGCGGACCTTGACTTTAAGGGTGCTGACGGGCAGTTTGTCCAGAGAGACGGTGAGCGGGAAGATGACCTCATCCGTCAGGACCACCGGCTCATCTAGAGGAGACTGACAGGGAGGAGCAAACACATCATGGCGCCTGAGAGGAAAGCATCGCCTCTGAGGATCTTAATCTAACAGCTGGAGAGAGGAGCGCCGTATCAAAGACAGGTAAAGGTGCGCGTCTACCTGGACGGGCGCCCTGCGGAACTCCCTCGACGCCGTCCCAGAGGAGTTGTGGATGAGCAGAGGTTTGCAGTCCCTGAAGCTCCGGCACCGGGAGTCCACCCTGCTGCCCAGCGCAGCGATGGCGGCCTCGGCCGCCGCGATGTAGTCCTCTTCGCCGTCCTCGTTGGCCTCGTCCCCGCTGCTCTGGTAGTCGTGGTGATGCTGATGGTGGTTGCCTCGGTGACGACTGCTCTCACCCGGACTCACGCTCGCCACGGCGCACAGAGATCCGGCCAGCTCCCTCCACGCCCGGCTGCTGGCCGATTCCGTCCCAAAACCTGCCGCGGTGCCATCAGCGCCCCCTGCTGGAAGAGACAGCTCTGCTCCAGACTTAAGGAAGCTTTTTTTACACCCAAAGAAACATTTTTAAGTACAAAAGTCTGAAGAGTTTGACTCTGTAACTCAGACTTCTGAGAAAATGACTAACAAAGTTAAGCGAAAACAAATTCCCCAAACGGTTCTTTGTTTCAGTGGCAGCGCTCACTCTTTGAACCTTCACATCTTTTCCTGTTTCAGTGCTGCAGCCGTGTTGGAGCTGTGGGATTTCATCCCTGCAGGTGGAGCTGCGGTCCTACAGTAGCTCGTGTTTGCGGCCCCATCTGTGCAGGTGTTTAAGGCAGGTATGGTCCTGTTTCATACGATATTTCATTCTATTTAAATGTGTTTTACTGCATCTTTTTGCTGCTTCGTTTCCCAGTAACTGAACTTGCTTTTTGCACAGTAGCATTTCAGCCCTGCGTTGATCCATCATGGCTGCTGGGATTTTACCGTCTCAGCTCCAGTTTGCTGGGTACTGAGCGATGTTCTGGTCCTGGATCAGTACGGGTCCCCCGGCCGGATCATCTCAGGAGTTTAACTCTGGTTCATTGTATGTGAGTCCCGCTCTGCACCTACATGGTTTCGTTTGAAGCTCGTATCTACTGCTGGCCAAGCGCAGGTTTAATGAATGCATTTGTCTGGATGTGTTAGTTTCTCGTGCTCTGTTACCGCAGACGTTGAGCCTGCTTTGACCTAAACTGCGCGGCCATAACAGTCAGGTGGAGGTTTCTGGGTGGTGCAGGTATGACCTCCATAAATGCAGACAAAGGGTTAACCGTGAGTGTGCGGCCGTTACTGCTGAGGCTTTGTTGTTTGTTCCTGACTAACGTGACTCATGCATATAAATACACGTGACGTATGTAAGACGGCATAACGAGGATATCCTGTGCACACCTGCGGGACACGAAAATGTAACATCCTAACGTTACAGGAGGAGCCTCAGCAGGTTTCTGTGACAGCTGCTCCCACACCAGACTCTGTCTCCGTGTTTTCATGTTCACGTCTGTCTGACTATCACAGGCTCGTACACTCATCTCTCCTCGGCCCTCCCTCACGTACCCGGGCCGTGCTCGGTCGGCGTCGCTCCGGCTTCCCTGCAGCGCAGCACCAGCAGGAAGCGGACGGTCTCGCCCAGGTACAGGTGGCTCCTGCGGGGCAGCGTGCGGTACCGGGCCGGGTCGGACAGGTCCGTGATCGGCACCGCCGGGAAATACATGAAATACTCGCACTGCGACTCCATCATCTGCACCATGGCGACGACGGGAGGAGGCTGAGCGGCAGCAGGACCACAGTCAACACGCTCTAACAATGAAACGCGCACTTCCTGTTGCGACTTTCAAAGTAAAAGCACGGACACCTGCCGAATGGGGGAAAATGAGACCGTTAGCGCCCCATAGTGGACGTCCATGGTACTACGACACCAAGTTTCTCGCCGTTGCCAAACTCACATGAAATTGAAAATAATAAGCACCGAGAGGAGCGTCTGGGTTTTATTTAGCTGTTATTTAAGTGCAGCTATCTGGACCTTTTACATGATTTATTGCACTTAAGTGTGGCTCTGATTAGAAACGAGATAAATTCACATCCATGTACCGATGCAGACATGTTTGCTTTGCTTTTTGACGTTTTGAGTTCACACACACGTGTTTACTTATGTGTGTGCATGTGTGTGGGTGTGTGTGTGTGTCTCTGTGTGCATGTGTGTGTCTCTCTGTGTGTGTGTGAGGGTGTGTGTGCATTGAATAGTCCATTTTCTCGGTCCTCCATGAGTGAAGCTGCAGTCGCACCTTCCTTAAATCAAACAAAATTGATGTCAAACATTTTTGTTTGTGCTGATTTTGTTTTAGAGATTTCAATAAAAGTTTTCTATAGCAGTGATAACAAGTAGTCCCCTGCAACAATTTTGATGTATTAATATCTGATTCAAACTTTGTGCACATACCACTGATCGACATCTCCGACCGTTATTGTTCATAAAGCCTGGAGAGAAGAAGAGGGACTCGCCTTGGAGACAAAGGAATGATTAGTATTTAAGTACAGTGGTGTGAACTGGTGATTGTAGAATTGTCAGTCACTTAACGCTTACTGCAGATTTTTCTCTTTTCCCCAGCTGTGGCAGTTGTTTAGGGAAGTGAGCGCTAGCTCAGTAGGTAAAGTGGTCGCCCCATGATCGGAAGGTCGGCGGTTCGAATCCACTTAACGGCTACCCTGAGGTACCCCTGAGCAAGGTACCGTCCCTACACACTGCTCCCCGGGCGCCTGCTTAGTGGGCTGCCCACTGCTTCACTGAGTGAATGGGTCAAATGCAGAGAAAAACAAGTAATTTCCCCATGGGGATCAATAAAGTATCCATTATTATTATTCCCCCTGGAGGCTCGTCCACCCGGCTCTCGACTCACCCGTGCTTGATTGCTCTGCCAGCTGCTTCTAATCAGCCTTCATCCTACGCCAAACTGGTAGCGTTAGCAAACTGAGAGTGTGGGAGATTGTTGGTTAAGAAGTCAGCTAACCGTGTATTTGGTCTCAGGTTCCCCTAGGTTATTTGGACGGAAAGGAGAATCGGGACACACTAGTCGCTCACGGGATTGCACGGATGAAGCAGCACTTGGGAGTTTGAAAGGGAGCACCTTTGGACACTGTAAATAAACACACTGTTCACCAGAGCTCTGCATTTAGCTTCTTTTTTCCCTGCATCCCAGACACTTGGATTATGCATCTTTTTAGAAATGATGAAAAATTCCTGACTTCTATTTAAAATCACTTTCTCAGATGTGTGCTGAGTTTCACTGTTACTGTTATGGAAATAAAAAACAAAAGCAAGCTGCAAACCCTTGGTGAGAGTCTTTGAAGTGGTTTAATCAAACGTTGCAACATTGAGAAATTGGTCCCTGACCATGTCTGCCGCCCTCTCATCTTAGACAAAGATATTCCACAACTCTTACATGTTGGCCCATGTCACAGGGTGTAAAGCATAAATATACATTTGTGATGCTATTCTACATGCATATAACTATTACTGAAGTGATATTGTTAAAATATGCCATCAATATGTAATAGAGTAATATCCCATCACAGAACTCACTGGCCTGATGAAAGCAGCTAACGTAAGGGGGGGAGACAGTATTGGTCAGTAACATTTTTGACCATTATTGTGTCATTTGGAATCTTTGTTTCAGAAACCCCACAACAAATATAGTTTTAAATGTTTTAAAGTAAAAAAATGCTCTGAGGACACACCAAAGAAAAAAAGAGATGCCAGACTTAAATAACCTTGAGCTGTAAGCATGCTAACTTTAAATATCTCTGAAATATTTGTTTCAGTTTTTAAGATATCACCTTAGCCATTAAATCTCCACGTTCTGTTAATAAACATAGCCAGCTGCATAAAGTATCGTGTTTTATTAATCTATGATTTTGCATGTTTTGGACAAAGCAGTCAGAGACACATCAGAGTGGTTCCTGCTACAATTCTTTGAAGTTTGCTTAACGTCCGGCTGGAGGCTACATCGTTCCCACCGTCTGACAAATTTTATGTCATGTAAACCCAAGCATACCCCACTAAATTCATAGACACAAACCAACACGCCTAGTATGAACTCATACATCACATTTAATGTTTGTTTTTTTCTAAATTACCCCTCCCCTTGATTCTCAAGTTGAATAAATGGGTGTTTGTCAAGAAATCACACTGATTAAGTGATGAGAATGACTTCAATTGAGACTCTTCAGAGGAAAGGTTGACATTTCCACTGACATCTGAGATTGAGCATGAGGACAGGTCTGATGGTGCGGTCTCTGAGACCATAGATGAAAGAACTCAGGCATCTGGGAAGGATGATAATACAAAGATAAATAACAACCCGGATGCGCACAACTATGACACTGTCCACAGTTTTGTAAATAAAGACAAATATTGGGTTATGTATAGTTGAGGAGACACTAAGACCAAGCTGCACCAAATGCAACACCAGTGTCTTACGAGCCTTTTCAGCTGAAGCTTTGTCTGTAGAGGCCGACTGGGCTACTACAGTCACACCAATATAAGAAAAAATGAATGCCCCTGCAGCTAAAACAAACAGAAAATAACTGAAGGCTTTGGCATAGAGATCAGATATCGGATCAAGAGTCAGTTTCTCCTTGTTACAGGAATATTCCATCTGAAGGTGCAGCAGATCCTGGAATCGGACACGTAACATCAGAACAACTTCTATTAAAACATTTAGCAAACTTAGTGTCCAAACCACACAAACAGCCAGCGCTGTGTTTCTGACGGTGATGATCGTAGCATGTCTCAGTGGGTAGCACACAGCTACATATCTCTCCAGAGACATCGCCACCAGTGTGAGAGGAGAGATTAAAGTCAATAGAGTGGCAAGTGACACTAGCACACCACATATCGGATACAGCAACGTTATTCTACAAGCAGACAGTAAAAACATGAGCTGACTCTGTGCCATCTGTAGAGTATCTGCAAACAGAAGGTTGTAGAGAAGAATGTAACGAGAGGTTTGACCAAACACGGGTTTACTTCTTAGAGTAAACAACATGGTTGCATTAATAAAAAGAAATACACAGCATGTTAGTGTTGTGACAATGCAAGAAAACACTATCTCGAGAAATAGCTGATTCTGCTGCCCGACAGTGATATTTGTCAGAGTTTCATTTGTGAAGAACATGTTAAACAAACATTAAAAACATGTTAAATTAGCACACAGCAAAATTAATGTTTTAGCTTTGAGGGATTTTGATCTTTGGAGCAGAGAAAGAAGCCAAAATACTTCCTTGCAGAACTTTAACAGATAATCTTTCCACATGACCACAGTTGATCTGCAGTTTTTGCCATCTGGTCACGTACTGTTTATGACACCTCATTGACGTCATCTCATGTGATGTCACATCATGTGATACTCATACTGACAGATTTCTACCCCTTTCTTTTTTTGTTCTCTTTTCTTCCACAAGTCACCTGTGGGATTGTTACACTACACATATATAAAAATATTGGCTAACAAGAGCAGCCGATGTTCAGTTTCTAGGGCCCCTTTTGGCAAAGCAAATGTGTTTTTTGCAACACCAGAGCTGCCAGATGGGACCGATTTGAAGCAATCAAACAAGTGAACAATCTTACTGTTAGAACACCCAGAGATTGTGCTGTGAGACTGTTGTAGAAGTTTTGGTTAGTCTGAATCCTTTCGTACTATATCCACTCTGTTCTACTTGGTCTACTACAAGTCATTGTTTTGGTAATAGAGCCCAGATGACTCCTGTATATGAGATTCTGGACTGTCTCTTCTCTGGACTTTGTCTTCATTTGAAGGACTCACCAGACACTAGTGCAAGGCTCTGGTAGGAGGATACCTGTGTCATGGTCCGGGTGAGTGCTGGGTTTTCCTGCATGCCAGTAAATCCATCACTGGGCAGAGTCACCACACCCCTCGTTTGTGGCACCTGTGTGTAATTTGCTGGGAGGCTCTTAAGACCAGCGTTCTCAAACATTGCTCGCTGTGATACAAATTGTAAACTCAATGTCTGTCCCATACTCTGGAACAGTAGGAGGCAGTAATGCTCCTTTACGTTGGTTGCTAACCGCCGTTAAACGAAGAAGAAGACATTCCTCGCTGGAATGTCAGCTAACCCACGTTAGTGAGAGTCATAGCTCAGTAAACCCTGTCTACTTGCCTCTGCAGCTTCACAGTGGATTGGATCTTGCTGCCTGTAACCACTCAACTCCCCGTCGCTGGCCTGCTACTATTCTCGACCCTATTCACCTGCCTGCCTCCCTGCCCTGCACTTCACAGTGAGTGTACACGAACTGGTTTAGCCTCACTCGGACCACTAATCCCCTCCTAGCCTCGCCGTCAACCCAGACAAGTAAGACTATGTATTTTGTTGCCACCACTTCTTGGAGTGCTGTGTGGGGCATGCATTGACTCTACACTCCTTTCATTACAGTGACTCAGAGAAACCCTGTGACCCTGCACCTTGTATGCCTGCTCCGGAAAATCCCAAATAACGTGCCCAGCCCGATAAAGAGACTATTTCCTTCTGGCTTCGCTGCTGCACACGCGGTGCGAATCTTGTTTATTGGTTTAAAAATTATTTTGGAGATGGTCTAGCCAAGACTTGTTTATTTTCTCAGCATTCCTGGTAACAGCTTATCTGCTAGCCCTTGCTAATCAGTGTGTTTGTAGCTACAGATTCTTAGTACCATAATCAGAAACTTTATGTTAGTAGGCAGCCAATGTTCAGAGGTCTATGTTTTCCCTCTCGTCATTAGTTCCCGTATAGCATTTTTGTTTCTTTTACCTCTGTTACGTTTCGGTGTTGTCAGTGTTTTGTTTTTGCGTGACTGTCATGTGTTTCCTGTTTTACTTTGAAGGTCTGTTGTTATCTTAGTGTGTTCAGTTTACGTTTCCTTGTCTCGTCAGGTCTAATTTGCCCCAGCTGTGTTTCCCTCCTGTGGTCCATTCCCTGATTGCTCCTTCTATGTATTTAAGCCCTGTGTGTCAGTTGGTCATGGTTGCGATCTCCCCCGTGTTGTAAATAGATTTGTCGATACTTTAGTTTTGGGATTTTGGTGGAGAGCTGTAGTTTTTTTTCTCGTGTGTTTTTTCCTTTATTTTAATTTTTTTCGTGTTGCACTCCGGTTGCCTAGGCCGGGGTGTAACATATGGGGGCTCGTCTGGGATTGCCTTCTGCGGGAGGGTCCGAGGGACCGCTCCAGCCTTCGTTTGTCTTTGCTGGAGGGTCCGAGGGACCGCTCCGGCCTTCGTCTGCTGGAGGGTCAGTGGGACCGCTCTAGCCTTCGTCAGCCTTCGTTTGTGTTCGCTGGAGGGTCCGAGGGACCGCTCCAGCCTTCGTCGTCTGCTGGAGGGTCAGTGGGACCGCTCCAGCCTTCATCAGCCTTCGTCCGTCTTCGCTGGAGGGTCCGTTGGAGGGACCGCTTCAGCCTTCGTCCGCCTTCGCTGGAGGGTCCGAGGCACCGCTTCAGTCTTCGTTTGTCTTCGCTGGAGGGTCCGAGGCACCGCTCCAGACTTCATCCGTCTTCGCTGGAGGGTCCGGGGGACCGCTCCAGCCTTCGTCGTCTGCTGGAGGGTCCGTGGGACCGCTCCAGCCTCCACCAGCCTTCATCCGCTTTTGATCAAACATTTCACTTGGGGTTACATGTTTGATTTTTGGGTGGGGGGAAATGTTACGTTTCGGTGTTGTCAGTGTTTTGTTTTTGCGTGACTGTCATGTGTTTCCTGTTTTACTTTGAAGGTCTGTTGTTATCTTAGTGTGTTCAGTTTACGTTTCCTTGTCTCGTCAGGTTTAATTTGCCCCAGCTGTGTTTCCCTCCTGTGGTCCATTCCCTGATTGCTCCTTCTATGTATTTAAGCCCTGTGTGTCAGTTGGTCATGGTTGCGATCTCCCCCGTGTTGTAAATAGATTTGTCGATACTTTAGTTTTGGGATTTTGGTGGAGAGCTGTAGTTTTTTTTCTCGTGTGTTTTTTCCTTTATTTTAATTTTTTTCGTGTTGCACTCCGGTTGGCTAGGCCGGGGTGTAACAACTTCCATGGTGTGCCATTTTTTGAGTGCCAAATAAATTGTTCGTTTGCACTACACCTCCGAGCCTCCATGTGGTGTCTGCATTTGAGTCCACTTACCTGTGTCTGGCCACCTGGTCGTGACAGCCTGTTGTTGCGGCTCCCTATGTTTGTCAGGTTCTTTAGATATTTTAGTGTCTCTGTCTTTCTTTTTAAACTCCATCCATCCATTCGCTTCCGCTTCTCCTTTTCAGGGTCGCGGGGGGCGCTGGAGCCTATCCCAGCTGTCATAGGGCGAGAGGCGGGGTACACCCTGGACAGGTCGCCAGTCTGTCGCAGGGCTAACACACAGGGACAGACAACCATTCGCACTCACATTCACACCTAGTGACAATTTGGATTGTCCAATTAACCTATCCCCACAAGCTGCATGTCTTTGGACGGTGGGAGGAAGCCGGAGTACCCGGAGAGAACCCACGCAAACACGGGGAGAACATGCAAACTCCACGGGGAGAACATGCAAACTCCACACAGAGAGACCTGATGGTGGAATTGAACTCAGGACCTTCTTGCTGTGCGGCAACAGTGCTAACCACCGTGCTGCCCCCCTTTTTAAACTCTTAATATTTTAATCTTATTGTTTAGTTTTAATTATCAAACACGACTGACTGAGCTGGCTGGGCTGGACACATGCACGGTGTAGACAACATCAATGACACGACGGTGAACGAGTGGAAACTGAAGACTTAAATACACAGACTGATGAGGATGATAATGAGAGACCGGTGAGTACACAGCTGAGCATAATCTGGCTAATGACACATGAAACTAGCAGGCACAGGAAAAACAGGAAATGAGAGCAAGTGATAAATACACTGAACATGAATGAACTGAAAATACTGGGTAAACAACCCAGGAACCCTGTCAGAAGAGGTTTAAACAAATCCTGACCCCCCCCGTCTGCATTGGTGGGACTGATGTTGAAATAGTCACATCCTATAAGAATGTGGGAGTCGAACTGGATCACAAGCTGGAGTGGTCTGCCAACATGAACGCTAATTGCGCTACTGACCTCCTTCTAGAAGTACCTCCTCCAAGTTCCTGTTTGTGACTAAGTGTCAGTGTGGAATGCAAGTTGGGATGTGTGAGTGACTGGCTTTGTAAAGAGAGGAGCGTGGATGTGTTTTTCTTCCCCAGATTCCCTGGAGCCCCTTTCCCTTCAACATTGTAGATAGCACCTGGTGCCTCACTGTAAATAATTGCACTATTCTGAGTCTTGCGTTTGAGTCCTGCTGTTCACCTTGACACAAGGGTCTCTTCCAGGTCTCCTGCTTCAATATCAATAACACTACTCCCTCAGTTACCACACGAAAGCCTGCGGCTCAATATATTGGCAGGAACACCAGAGGGGGAAATTTCTATATACAAATATGTCTATTTAAAAAACAACCCACAATTCTTCTCATTTTGTCCTAGACCCCATTTGCCTGTGTTAATGTAAAACCTGTGGTAAACATGCAGTTGTAAAAAGTAAACATGACACTGTGTTATTGTAAACATTGTGCATTAAGGTTATATTGGATCTGATCGTCTGTTAAGTTGCAGCATGGTGTAAAGGTGTTCTTTAATCTGTTAGGTTTTGTTTTCATGGCTCTGAAACATCTGCCTGAAGGTGACATTCAAACACTACATGACCAGGCTAAGATGGCTCTTGAAGGATTTTATTCACGTTCTCAGCCGACTATCCCATGGGCAACCTATATAACCCTGTGGTGCTCGTTATTCTGTGCTGCTGTACAGCAGGAGAGCCATGCACAGAGACAATAGGCCAGGATACACTGTATTGTGCAGCGATAGGACACCAACAATTTCTCAGGGGTGTTTTTCTTTCTGAGAACCCTCAGAAAGTAATTGGTAAGTGGCCTGTATTTATATAGCGCTTTACTAGTCCCTAAGGACCCCGCTTTACATATCCAGTCATCCACCCATTCACACACTGGTGATGGCAGCTACATTGTAGCCACAGCCGCCCTGGGGCGCACTGACAGAGGCGAGGCTGCCGGACACTGGCCCCACCGGGCCC